CAAAATCAGTGGGGGGATAATGGAGTTGCTTAACGACCATATGATTCACTTAGGAACTGCAGTGATTTGCTTAAGAACTGTGACAAAAAGGTGCAAAAACTCCTTTTAAAATGTCTTGCTTGGCAGTGGAAATTGTGGGCTCAACTGTGGGTCATAAGCCGAGGACTATCTGTATTTGGAGACGCATTTGTGATAGTCCGTAAAAGCGACATCTGAAAGCAATCGCTCTCAGAGGTTGCATTTCCAGATTCAGACATCAGGAGAAACGTGTCATAAGGGGGGCCTCTTCCAATTGACCTTTCAGCCCCCAAATTTAATCAGCATCCCCTCTAAGGCAGGGGTAGGCAACCTTGGCTCTTTTATGACTGGTGGACTTCAACTCCCAGAATTCCTGAGCCAGCCACACTGAGGGGAAAGGGAGAGGTTTCCAAGCTGAGCCATGCTGGTTCAGGAATTCTGGGAGTTGAAGTCCACAAGTCTTAAAGTTGCCAAGGTTGTTGACCCGATATAGGGCAGGGGTGGGGAACCTTGGCCCTTTGATGACTGGTGGACTTCAACTCCCAGAATTCCTGAGCCAGCCATGCTGAGGGGAAAGGGAGAGGTTTCCAAGCTGAGCCTGGCTGGCTGAGGAATTCTGGGAGTTGAAGTCCACCAGTCATAAAAGAGCCAAGGTTGCCTACCCCTGATCTAAGACTTAGAGCCTAAGCACCTCCTTCTGATCTCCCTCTTCAGTGTTCACTGGAGCATTTTCTGAGGTTGCTATTCCATTACAAGAATTTAAAAAAATATATCTTTTGCAGCCGTACAGCTCAGTGCCAAAAACCTGATATCCTATAATCCAAGTTCCTCAGCAAACATGGTAAGTAAAGGTGTGGGTCTATTCCTCCTGCACTTTGTAAGTAGAATTTAATTGGCTTACACATTAAGACGAGTGGAAGTAACCATGTCGTAAATAGCATTGAGAGATCCTGTTGAAAGCATGTTCCCTTGCTGGAAAAAATGTACATCAATGGAAAGCTCATGTGTCAGAAGCCAGGTCTCCAGTATTGTGATGGATGGATGGATGAAAATTCATTGTTAGGAACGCTACCAGGGTTGAGGTGATCTTGACCAAAATGCTGTTTGGATTCCCACACACAGGATTTTTCCTTCCTTCCTTCCTTCCTTCCTTCCTTCCTTCCTTCCTTCCTTCCTTCCTTCCCTTTTGTGCCCTCTCCGTTCTTTCCCTCCCTCTTTCCCTACCTCCTATCTGTCTATCCGCCTTCCTTCCTTCCTTCCTTCCTTCCTTCCCTTCCTTCCCTTTTGTGCCCTCTCCTTCTTTTTTTCCTTCCCTTTCCCTGCCTCCTGTCTGTCTATCCGCCTTCCTTCCTTCCTTCCTTCCTTCCTTCCTTCCCTTCCTTCCCTTTTGTGCCCTCTCCTTCTTTCTTTCCTTCCCTTTCCCTGCCTCCTGTCTGTCTATGCGCCTTCCTTCCTTCCTTCCTTCCTTCCTCATAACCACCATATTTTCTTTCTTTCTTCTTTCTTTCTTTCTTTCTTTCTTTTTCTTTCTTTCTTTCTTCTTTCTTTCTTTCTCTTTCTTTCTTTCTTTCTTTTTTCTTTCTCTTTCTTTTCTTTCTTTTTCTCTTTCTCTCTCTCTCTCTCCTCTCCTCCCTCTTTTTCCTTCTAGCCTCTCCTTCTCTTTTCTCTCCCCCCTTTCTTTCTCTCTCCCCTCTGCCCCAATCTTTTATTTCTCTCTTCCCTTCAACTTTTAAAAAAACAAGAAGAACCTTGCTCAAAGCTAATCTCCTTGAATGGCATCAAAATTATCTCCGGGGACAGGAGATTCACTTGCAGCTGGATGACCTTGGCTAAGTGGGGCAGCCTGTATTTGGACGGGAGATAAGCAGGGAATCTTAGGCTAAGCTGGAAAGTCAAAGAAACGCCCCAGAGGAGGACAACAGGAACCCCCACCCCTGTACTACTGGTAAAAAAAGTAGTACAGGTAGTCCTCGACTTAACGGCCATACTTGAGCCCAACGTTTCTGTTGCTAAGTGAGACATTAAAGTGAGTTTTACCCCATTTTACGATCCTTTTTGCCACCCTTGCTAAGTGAATCACTGTAATTGTTTAGTGACAAAGTTGTTAAGTGAATCTGTCTCCCCCATTGCCTTTGCTTGTCAGGTCGCAAAAGATGATCACATGACCCCGGGACTCCTCTGCAACGGTCATAAATATGAATCCATTGCCAGGCATCTGAATCTTGATCACGTAACCACAGGGATGCTGCGACTGTCATAAATGTGAAAAAAGGTCATAAGTCACTTTTCCCCCTTTGAATGGACACTAAATGAATGATTGTATGGGGTTTTTTGTATAGATTTTATTAGTTTTATTAGGGTTAGAGATAAGGTGGGGTCGGGATTAGGGTTTGGATTTGGGTTAGGGTTAGGGTTGGGGTTGGGTTTTTTCCAAATAACATTATTTAGCAAACAGCATAATGTCTGGGTACATGTATTTAACTAACAATAATAGATATAGTTAATTATCATAAGCAATATGTTAATTCCTCACTCAGTAGCCTTCTTCTTGCTAATATATATTCAAAATTACGTATCACGTTCCTTTCTCTCTGACTCGTTTTTCTAGCCATGGATAGAAATTATCCCATGTTCTAAAGTACATCAAGTTTTCTTTCTCTTTCATCTTTAAAGTCAATCTATCCATTTCTGCACACTCTAGAATGTTCTTAATTAGTATTTCTTCAATTGGTAAATTTTCATTTTTCCAATGTTGGGCAAATACAATTCTTGTTCCCGTTAACATGTGTAGTATTAGATATCTGCAGTCTTGCTCATCATTAACTCCTATTATTCCTAACAAAAATAATTCTGGTTTAAAGTCTATTTGTTTTTTAGTCATTTTCTCCAAGGTGTATGAATGATTGTATGTTGAAGATTACCTGTATAGCTGTCTAAATGGGTGGCCATCCTCACATCTGGCGACAGCAACCCCCCCACACACACACACCACCCATCAAGGATGCTGCTAAAAGTGTAACGGGGACCTATTTTCCAAAGCAGCCGAAGGCTGGACAAGGAACAACGGATGGAAACTGATCAAGGAGAGATTCAACCTAGAGATTCAACCAGTCTTCCAGTATCTCAGGGGCTGCCCCAAAGAAGAGGGAGTCAAGCTCTTCTCCAAAGAGCTCTGAAGGCAGGACAAGAAGCAACGGGTGGAAACTGACCAAGGAGAGAAGCAACCTAGAACTCAGGAGAACAATCAACCAGTGGAACAGAAGTTGTCTTCAGAAGTCATGGGAGCTTCATCACTGGAGGCTCTCAAGAAGAGACTGGTATAGGTCTCCTGCTTGAGTTGGAGTTGGGTTGGACTAGATGACCTCCAAGGCCCCTTCCAACTCTGTTATTCTATTAATCTAAACAAAAGGGTTCTAAAAAGAGTTTGGGCTGTCTGCAGAACCAAACCCGAATTGCAGCCTGGTGTCTCTCTTCTCCAAAGCACCTCCGGCTGGGAAGTTCAGGGTCCAAGTGCAGGTCCGGTTCTCTCCACAAAGTTGGGGGTGGAAAAACGACCCTCTAGCACATGTGGGGGGAGGGGAGGGGCAGGGGAAGGGTCTCTTGGGATTTTCATCCTGATCAGACCCCCCCCCCCCAGGCTGTGTTGCCACCTGGACTAGGGCGAAGTTGGCTGTTGAGAAGGAGGCGGCCAGGGCTCTTGGACTAAAGATGCTGAGACTCTGGAAAGAGTGCAGAGAAGAGCAACAAAGAGGATCAGGGGACTGGAGGCTAAAACATATAAGGAACGGCTGCTGGAACTGGGCATGGCTAGTTTAAGGAAGAGAAGGATGAGGGGGGACAGGATAGCCGTCTTCCAGTATCTCAGGGGCTGCCCCAAAGAAGAATTGGGGGTCAAGCTATTCTCCAAAGCACCTGAAGGCAGGACGAGAAGCAACGGATGGAAACGCATCAAGGAGAGAATCCAATCAAGAACTAAGGAGAAACTTCCTGACAGTGAGAACAATTAACCAGTGGAACTACCTGCCTCCAGAAGCGGTGAATGCTCCAACACTGGAAGTTTTTAAGAAGAGACTGGACAGCCATTTGTCCGGAATGGTGTAGGGTTTCCTGCCTGAGCAGGGGGTTGGACTAGATGACCTCCAAGGTCCCTTCCACCTTTATTATTATTATTATTATTATTATTATTATTATTATTATTATTATTATTATTATTATTATTATTATTATTATTATTATTACACCGCAAGGGCGTTGTTCCAAATGACAGCCCCCCCCTTGCCCAGGGCTGGGACCGCTTCCCTCCCCCCACCGAAGCCCTCCTAGGACCTCCGCTTCAGCTCCGGGTCCGCCTGTTCTCGTTTCCCACGGGATCCCCAACAAGGGGCGAGCGTCCCGCGGGAGACGCCCTGCCTCTCGTGCCGGGAGGGAGGGAGCGTGTCCGCGTGGGAACGCAGTCCCGGGGCCCCCGCCCGGCCCAACCGGGTCTCCCCCCCCCCNCCCCCGCTGCCCCCCCCCCGCGGGTGGGTGTGTCGGCGCTTCATTGACACTTTTGGCCGGCTTTGGGGCGACGTCAGGGGGGGCGTGACCAATCAGCGCCCGGGAGCCGGCGCCTCCGGAGTGCCGTCCCCCTCTGGCCACGGGTCAGGTGACGCGCCCCTCGCCTATTTAGGAGGGACCCCCGCCCTCCCCCCGCCCCGCTCCCTCGCCAGCCCCGCCGGAGAGGAGGCGCCGCACGCGCTGCTGCTGCTCCTGCTGCTCTGCTCCGCTCCGGGGACGCCCCTGCCTCTTCTGCCTCTCTGCCTCCTCTTCTTCTTCCTCCTCCTCTTCTTCTTTCTCTTCTTCCTCTCTTCCTCTTCTTCTTTCTCTTCTTCTTCTTCTTCTTTCTCCTCTTCTTCTTTCTCTTCTTCCTCCTCGCCTCGCGCTGCCCGCGTTGCTCCCGCCAGCCGAGCGGAGCCTGCCGGTGCCGGAGCGCGGAGCGAGCCATGCGCGCCTGCCCCGTCCTCCCGCTGCTGCCGCTCCTGCTCAGCCTCGGGCGCATCGCCGCTGTCCGGGACGCAGCGGGCGCGGGGCCGGAGCGCCGCCCAGGTAAGGGGAGCCCCTGCGGGGGTGGGGTGGGGGGGCTCGCCCTTCGGGGAAGGGCCGCGCGTCCCGGGAGGGCGGCCGGCGGATGCGCGCCGCGGGGAAGGTCCGCCCGGCCTCGGATGCCCCGGCCCGGCCCGGCCCGGCCGGAGCAGGGACTCGGTCAGCCCCGGGGATGCCCGAGCCGGCCCAGCGAGGCACCTGGCGGGCGCGGAAGGGGCGAGGCGGCTTCCCCGGAGGAGTCTCCGCTGGATCGGAGCTTTTTCCCCCCTCGAGGGATCCTTTGGGGGTCTGGGGGGAGTGGAGATGGAAGAGGGGATTGAGGGGGCTGTCGAGAGGGGGGGGAAAGCTGTGAATCTGGCGATGCACGTGAGAACTGGAGCCAACCCGGGTTCGACGCTCGGGCGAAGGAGCGGCGCTTGGGACTCCCTCGCGTCAAAGCGCCCTGCCCGGACCTTCCTCCTCCTCCTCCCCGCCGCCCCTCCCGGGAGCCGCTTCCTTGGGGAAAGGGCAGCGGGCCTTTTCTGCAACTTGGGCGCGGAAAGCGCGAGGTTCGGTCTTGGGGTTCGCGGCCACGTGTTCCCGGGGCGCATTCCCAGCGCCGGGCGCTCCTCCTCCCCTCTCCGGACCCCCGGAGACTTTGGGCCGGTTTGCCTAAGAAGGGGGGACCTCGAAGTTGCACTCTCGCAGCTCGTCTTGGGGGTCGGGAGTCCCCGGAGGCGGCGACGGGCGGTGCGCGGGGGTCCCGAAGCCCCGGCCTGGCCGCGCTTTAGGGGGGGAGCCGCCACCCCCGAGCGGAGACTCCCCTAGTTGCGCCGAGACCCCAAGCGAGCAGCTCGTGTGATGTGACGTGAAGCGGGATGATAGGATCGCTTCTAAATATAGGGTAACTCTATCGGTGGTCTTATCGGAGTCAGGGGTTTGATGACGTTGGCGGATCTCTGCTCTCGCTTTATAAGTAATAGAGTCACGGTTTCAAATAGTTGAAGGCGTTCGCCCAGCTAAAGCGAAAAAGGGAGATGCTAGCTAGACAGACTAGAGCGTAAGGTTCTCCTGCTCCAGCAGGGGGCTGGACTAGAAGACCTCCCAGGCCCCTTCCAGCCCTATTCTATTCCATTCCATTCCATGGGTAGCAAAATTGTAGTTTACCCTGCTTTGCAGGCGGTATTAAATTGCATCGTCATAATAGCAAAACATGCGGGTGATGCCTTAGTTTTTAAATTGTCTTATGGCACAAATTCCTCTTGAATTCAATTGTCTGATCAGTAAGTTCTCCTGGTGTTTTTCTTTCCCCATTGGAGTTCATTTGTTCCTTCATTCATTCATTCATTGCAAATAATAATAATAATAATAATAATAATAATAATAATAATAATAATAATAATAATAATAATAATAATAATAATAATAATAATAATATTATTATTATTATTATTATTATTAATAATAATAAAGTTGGAAGGGACTTTGGAGGTCATCTAGTCCAACCCCCTGCTCAGGCAGGAAACCCTACACCAGTGATGGCGAACCTTTTACAGACCGAGTGCCCAAATTGCAACCCAAAACCCACTTATGCATCGTCGAGTGCCAGGTGGGTGTGGCCAATTGGGTGGGCGTGGCCCATTGGGTGGGCATGGCTGAGGTAGTAACGGCAGACTGGGTGGGACTAAAAAGTTCAATCAATCAATTTCAACTTTGCAAGATCTTTTTTTTCCCCGCGAGAAGCTGAAATTGACTGATTGAACCTTTTGTTTTTTTGCACACGGCAGCGGAGGCCTAAAGCGAAAAGGTTTTATAAAACCCAGCTGAAGGCCTAGGACTGGGGCGACGGTGTGCGTGCCCACAGAGAGGGCTCTGAGTGCCGCCTCTGGCACCCGTGCCATAGGTTCGCCACCACTGCCCTACACCATTTCAGACATCCTCAGAAGTGGACAGCTATTGACAAATGCCGTGTCTTATGTAAAATTCAGAATTTCTGCTATTTCTCAGTGTTTTTGCTTGCGTAGGGCTTGGTCAGTTGAACAAATTTTGCAGTTGATGGTCTGCACATCAAAACCGTGTGACACAACATGCCACGTTATAACACTGATGCCATAAACCATGGTTTAGAAGATGAAGCTGAGTTTGTGAGTTATTGAGATGAGGGTGGATTCGTTTGCCAACTGAGCCTAACACATCTTCCCTCCGGCTTTTGTTGGGCAGGCGCTGATTTAGGCTGTTGCTTCACTCTATCCGAAGCGCTGCCCAAGGCCACAAGCGTACTTAGATAAGATAAGATAGCCTTTATTGTCATTTTTTATACCGTGGGCACAATGGCACACATCAAAAATGAAATTTAGTTCATATCTCATTGTTGAATCCTTCTGTTGACCTCCATATTCTTGGGGTTTAGAGAGAACTTTGGAGAAGTCCTTTCCAGAAAAAGTTGTCTCTTTGATGTGCGCCGAGTCTAGGCTGTTCAACAGGTTTTATGACTACAAGGGGTAGGAGAGCCACAGACGATAATCCAGGTGCCACTATAGGTAGTGTAATAAGCCTTAATTGCAGCTGTATATTGCTATTTCAGCTTCTGTTATCTATTTGCAAATTAAGCTGAGGTTTTTGTAAGGTTGCTGCCACACAGCGGCAAGTATAGACCTGTCTCACCTCTGCTCCTCTGAGGTGATGCTTCTCATGATGCTTCTCGGGCTCAAAGCCACAAAAAGGCCCCGTTTGACTTTTGCTCAAAAGGAGGAGAACTGGCATCGATCAGAAGCAAGTCTGCCTATACCAGGGGTGGGCAACCTTGGCCCCTTTATGGCTTGTGGACTTCAACTCCCAGAATTCCTGAGCCAGCCTGGCTCAGCTTGGAAACTTCTCCCTTTCCCCTCAGCGTGGCTGGCTCAGGAATTCTGGGAGTTGAAGTCCACCAGTCATATAAAAGAGCCAAGGTTGCCCACCCCTGCCCAAATGCCTGAATTTTGATCACGTGACTGTGAGGAAAAAATATTTAAATATTTAAACCAGGGGTCTTCAAACGTGGCCCTTTTATGACTGGTGGACTTCAACTCCCAGAATTCCTCAGCCAGCCATGCTGAGGAGAAGGGAGAGGTTTCCAAGCCGAGCCATGCTGGCTCAGGAATTCTGGGAGTCGAAGTCCACCAGTCATAAAAGAGCCAAGGGGGCCTACCCCTGGCCTAGGCCTAGCATTCCTAATATAATTAATAATATAATATTACTGAGTAGAAGTAGCCCTCAACTTACAGCGGTTCACGTGATGACCTGTGGTCACGTGATTTACATTCAGATGCTTGACAACTGACTCACGTTTATGACGGTCGCAGCGTCCCTGGGGTCATGTGATCCCCTTTTGCAACCTTCTGACGAGCAGAATCAATGGGAGGCCAGATTCACTTAATAGCCATGTTACTAATTTAACAACTGCAATGATTCCCTTAACGACTGTGGCGAGAAAAGTCGTAACATGGGACAAAACTCAAATTTCTCACTTAGCAACCTAAATTTTGGGCTCAACTGTGGTTGTAAGTTGAGGACTGCCTGTATATAATATAATGATATAATATTATTGAGCATAATCAATACAAGTAATCCTCAACTTACAACAGTTTGTTTAGTGCACACTCTGCCTCCCTTCTGCAGGTGTTGTGGCCTGTGGTATTCCAGGACACAATTGTACAAAGTCTGCATGCAATTAGCCAGTGTGTATTTGGCAGCATGCTAAGGATGCCCACAGTGTCTGACTTGTACGCACTTGGAACAAGCAGGTCATCGGCTGAATCCTCATTGGATGTATATAATAATGATAATGATAATGATAATGATAATGATAATGATAATGATAATGATAATGATAATAATAAAGTTGGAAGGGACCTTGGAGGTCTTCTAGTCCAACCCCCTGCTCAGGCAGGAAACCCTATACCGTTTCAGACAAATGGCTGTCCAGTCTCTTCTTACAAACTTCCAGTGTTGGAGCATTCACTGCTTCTGGAGGCAGGTGGTTCCACTGGTTAATTGTTCTAACTGTCAGGAAGTTTCTCCTTAGTTTCAGGTTGCTTCTCTCCTTGATGAGTTTCCATCTGTTGCTTCTTGTCCTGCCTTCAGGCGCTTCCTTAAATATCTAGCCTACCCTCTGATGTGCTAAATTTAGTTGGGGTGAATTCCCCATTATATTAGCTTCTGTTTCCAAATATTGGGCAACTGCAGCAAATGGCTTGATTGAATCACCCAAAAAATGGGTTGCATAAATGCTGTCATGCAACACACTTTGAAAAAAAGCTTTGATTGGGCAATCTCAGCTCCACCTGGACTTTTTAATTTCTTCTGACACCCCTTTTTGGGGACCTCAGCACACCTCTCAAGGTGAAATTGCCCCTTCCCCCAAATATTGTATTTCCCCTGAAACCTTGTGCCCTCTCAAGCTACAGAACCAGTGAAGTTACAACAGTCTAAACCAGTGTTTCTCAACCTTGACAATTTTAAGGCATGTGGACTTCAACTCCCAGAATTCCACAGCCAGCAATGCTGGCTGTGGAATTCTGGGAGTTGAAGTCCACATGCCTTAAAATTGTCAAGGTTGAGAAACACTGGGACTCTAAACATTCCCCCCCTCCCCACCCAGAAGCCTTCAAGGTTACTGGGGGAAAAACAGCAAGAGAACTTCCACAGAATAGTAAGTCCTCAACTTACTATTTGTTTAGTGGCCGTTCAAAATTAGAACAGCACTGAAAATGTGACTAACAACCAGTCCCCGTACTTATGTGCCAGCGCCGTAGGGATACCGGTGTACTAGTTTTAAACCCGTGAATTGTCGGTCGAACACAAATACTCCCAACGTTGTAGGGTCTCAGTACACTAGTGGTAAACACTGGAAGGGTCGGCCAAAGGCTGTTTGTTCCAGGTGCTGACACCCTAGGCGAATTGTTGACGTCACTAAACAAATTGTTTAGGTTATCCGGTCGGGTAGGCAACCTTGGCTCTTTTATGACTGGTGGACTTCAACTCCCAGAATTCCTGAGCCAGCCATGCTGAAGGGAAAGGGAGAGGTTTCCATGCTGAGCCATGCTGGCTCAGGAATTCTGGGAGTTGAAGTCCACGAGTCATGAGGGGGCCATAGTTCCTCCATGCTGGCTCAGGAATTCTGGGAGTTGAAGTCCACCAGTCATAAAAGAGCCAAGGTTGCCTACCCCTGCAATAGGCTCATAAAATTGGGCATGACTCATTGAATAACCACCTTGCTTAGCAACAGAAATTCTGGTCCCAGTTGTGGTTGAAAGTCAAGGACCGCCTGTATTGAAAACCCCTCCTACCAACACCTCTTTTGATCACTGACATGCACTTCTGAGCTGCTTGTGGTGTCACAATTATAGCACAAGGGCGCTGGGTCAGTCCAGACTAACTACTGCTTCGTGTGCATGCTCAACTCCACCCTGTTCCCATTTTGCAACTTGCAAGCCTAGGAGAACAAAAACAGCAACTGTGAGAGGGACCTTGGAGTCCTTGTGGACGATCACTTGACTGTCAGCCAGCCGTGTGCAGCAGCAACCCAAAAAGATAACACAATCCTGGGTTGTATAAACAGAGGCATAGAATCAAGATCACGCGGAGTATTAGTACCGCTTTATAAAACCCTAGTGAGGCCACACCTGGAACACTGCAGCCAGTTCTGGTCACCATATCACAAAAAAAGATGTTGAGACTTTGGAAAAAGTGCAGAGAAGAGCTACTAAGATGATCCAAGGCCTGGAGACCAAAACATACGAAGAACGGCTGCGGGACTGGGGTCTGGCTCGTCTAAAGAAAAGAAGAAACAGGGGAGACATGATAGCAGGGTTCCGGTATCTGGGGGCTGCCACAAGGAAGAGGAGGGGGGTCACATTATTCACCAAAGCACCAGAGGGAAGAACAAGAAACAATGGTTGGAAACTCATCAAAGAGAAAAGCAACCTGGAATTAAGGAGAAACTTTCTAACAGTGAGGACAATTAACCAGTGGAACAGCTTGCCACCAGAAATCGTGGGCGCTCCATCACTGGAGATTTTTAAGAAGAGACTTCCAGTGTTTCTCAACCTTGACAATTTTAAGGCATGTGGACTTCAACTCCCAGAATTCCACAGCCAGCATTGCTGGCTGTGGAATTCTGGGAGTTGAAGTCCACATGCCTTAAAATTGTCAAGGTTGAAAAACACTGGACTAGACAATCACCTGTCTCAGATGGTATAGGTTCTCCTGCTTGAGCAGGGGGCTGGACTAGAAGATCTCCAAGGTCCCTTCCAGCTCTATTCTGATTGATTGAGAGTTCAGCTGCTGCCAAGAAGGTGTGGAGAATCTTTCCAGCAGTTTTGAAAACAAACTGACTTTGCACAGCAGATGTTCAAAGAGCAGGAGAAATTTGGTGGAATAAGCTGTGTCCTACTTTACCTGGACTAGGATAGGTCCAAATTCTTCCTCCTGTTCAGCCAGCCTGGGTGCTTGGTGGCCCATTCTCAACCTAGGATACTTGGCTAGTTAAAGGAGGATAAAAATGGAAGAAAGGGCAGGTTTAAAAAAAGATAAAGGAGGTTGTTGACGACCATAGGGGGTGGTTCTCATCTCTGTGTCGAGATGAGGCAGTGCTGTCCGAAGACGTTTTAGGGGGTTGGACTAGAAGACCTCCAAGGTCCCTTCCGACTCTGTTATTCTATGTTCTATGTTTCTGTGGTCATGTGGCCAGCATGACATCACACTGTTACCAGTACTTCCTACCAAAGTGGTACCTATTTAATAACAACAACAACAACAACAACAACAACAACAACAACAACAACAATAATAATAATAATAATAATAATAATAATAAAGTTGGAAAGGACCATGGAGGTCATCTAGTCCACCCCCCTGCTCAGGCAGGAAACCCTATACCATTTCAGACAAATGGCTGTCCAGTCTCTTCTTAAAAACTTCCAGTGTTGGAGCATTCACCGCTTCTGGAGGCAGGTTGTTCCACTGGTTAATTGTTCTCACTGTCAGGAAGTTTCTCCTTAGTTCTAGGTTGCTTCTCTCCTTGACTGGTTTCCATCTTCTTGGTTCCATTATATCAGAGGTGGGGAACCTTGGCTCTTTTATGACTTGTGGCTCAGGAATTCTGGGAGTTGAAGTCCACAAGTCATAAAAGAGCCAAGGTTCCCCAGCCCTGCACTAGATGGACCTTCTTAAGAAAGGGGACCCATACTGCCTCTTTCACCCTTGATGGTCGGGTAGATATAACTGAGAAAAGGCCATCCTCCAAATCAACTGGCCCTGTTGATTGGGTTTTCTGTGGAAACGTAATACCCAGAAGCTTTACAGTTGTAAAAATAGCTTAGCATGATAAAGAGATACACAATATTGATTGACCTCTTTGAGGTCTCCATTGTCTCAGGATTTATTATTTGGTTGCAATCATTCCTTGGTGGCTTGAGTTCTAGCTATGGGTTGCGCAACTGACTCATAGGCCAGTTCCCATGAGAGCATTTAATAGTTTGAAAAGCTGCCAGATACGTATTGAATCAGCTTGTGGAGATGGGGAAGTCCTGGTAGACATTCTTCAGACCTAAGTAGATGACATGTGGAAAGATCTTTTTCAGATGCTAAAACCTTTCTGCTTTCTCAGTGAATGCACACGGGAAAGGGGCCAGGTTATACCAGCAATTGATGATAGCTGTTGAAGATGAAGTCAGCTTTTGTGAAGTATGTGATGTGATATTCTCCTGCGAATGTGGATTTCAGTTTCCACTTCTGAAGGCTGAAGTCCAACACATTTCAGGGGCACCAAGTAGGAAGGCAGATTCTGTACAGGTAGCCCTTGATTTACAACATTTAGTGACCGTTCAAAGTTACAAAGGCACTGAAAAAAAGTGACGTATGACTGTTTTTACATTAACAATAATAATAATAATAGTAGTAGTAGTAGTAGTAGTAAGTGCCACCTATGCAAAGACGCTGAAGAAACAGTGGACCACCTGGTAAGCTGCTGCAAGAAGATCGCACAGACTGACTACAAGCAGCGGCATGACAAAGTAGCAACAATGGTGCATTGGAAGATCTGCAAGAAATATCATTTGCCTGCAAGCAAGAACTGGTGGGATCATAAAATAGAGAAAGTCATAGAAAATGATCAAGTTAAACTGCTCTGGGACTTCAGAATTCAAACAGACAAGTACCTGCAACATAACACCCCGGACTTAACAATTGTCGATAACAAGAAAGTCAAAAAAGTCTGGATAGTGGACGTGGCAGTGCCTGGAGACAGCAGAATAGACGAGAAAGAAGTGGAGAAGATAACAAAATATAAAGACCTACAAATAGAAATAGAAAGACTGTGGCAAAGGCAAGCAAGGGTGGTACCAATAGTAATAGGCGCCTTGGGTGCAATCCCAAAACAACTGGAGCCCCACTTGGACACCATCATCGGCATTGACAAATTCGCCATCAGTCAATTGCAAAAGGCGGCCTTACTAGGAACTGCTTCCATCCTGCGACGAGATCTGTAATACCATCAAACATCCACATCTGCCTATCCCAGGTCCTTGGGAAGGACTCGATAGGTAGACAAAAATGCCAAATCCAGTCTGAACATCTGGCTGACTGTGCGATGATTCATAATAATAATAATAAAGTTGGAAGGGACATAATAATAATAATAATAAAAATAATAATAATAATAATAATAATAATAATAATAATAATATAATAATAATAATAATAATAATAATAATAATAATAATAATAATAATAAATAAATAAAAAAAAAATAATAAAGTTGAAAGGGACCTTGGAGGTCATCGAGTCCAACCCCCTGCTCAGGCAGGAAACCCTACACCATTTCGGACAGATGGCTGTCCAGTCTCTTCTTAGAAACTTCCAGTGTTGGAGCATTCACCGCTTCTGGAGGCAGGTGGTTCCACTGGTTAATTGTTCTAACTGTCAGGAAGTTTCTCCTTAGTTCTAGGTTGCTTCTCTCTTTGGTCAGTTTCCATCCGTTGCTTCTTGTCCTGCCTTCATTTATGGACCATTGCAGCACCCCCATTCTCACGTGATCGAAATTCAGACGCTTGGAAACTGGCTGCAATTTATTTATTGCAGACAAGGATTACCCGTATTTGTTCAGCTTATTTGGTCAACCTCACTTACAGATGAATGATCTTAAATTCTGCATATTTTATTCCAGATGATAGCGTTTCTCAAGTGCAAAAGCTGAGAGAAGAACCATCTAAAGTCCGGGATCTACAAGTGAAGTTCATTGTTCGTACCACTCCAGACCTGGATGATGCTGACTGCTACCTCACGGTTGGTCGAGACCATCTCCTAGATGACTGCAACTTCAACGTCTCCGCAAAGACTTTCTTTGTTATTCATGGATGGACAGTAAGTAAAAGGACTTTACTGAGCTCCTTGAAACGTGACAAGCTCCCCAATTAAAGCGGTGATCATTTACAGTGACTGATTTTTGGCAGCATTGCCATATCTAGACACCTAGATATGTACACCTGTATATAACATATCTAGTTATATACAGCTTTGAACTGCCCATCTTTTTTGATGGGATGTACTTTCTACACTGGTCATTTCTATTATTTAGAATAGACCAGGGGGTCTTCAAACTTGGCCCTTTGATGACTTGTGGACTTCAACTCCCAGAATTCCTCAGCCAGGCATGCTGACTGAGGAATTCTGGGAGTTGAAGTCCACAAGTCATAAAAGGGCCACGTTTGTAGACCCCTGATCTATGGCCTAACACCCTAATCTGCATTTTCAGCCTCTGATTTGATTTCTCTTTGGCTCTGATGTGGTCAGTCTGGCACCATATAAATCAGGGGTCTTCAAACTTGGCCCTTTTATGACTTGTGGACTTCAGCTCCCAGAATTCCTCAGCCAGGCACGCGTGCCTGGCTGAGGAATTCTGGGAGTTGAAGTCCACAAGTCAGAAAAGGGCCAAGTTTGAAGACCCCTGATTTAGACCGTGAAACTTCATTTAATTCTACCAGGCTATTGTTTGCAAGGTTCCCCCTGGATGAATTTCAGCATGGTGAGGCAGAAAGAATCGGTAATGGGTGCTCCAGAGCCATGAAAAAGTTGGAGCTTGCTGGGAATTCTCCTGAGGAAGACTGGCTGGAGAATACTAAGTGTGATGCCCTTCAAATAATCGGGAAGTATTCGATTGTTTGTTCCTGGGAAGATAATTGGGAATCGCTGAGCTGGATTGTTTTCTAGCAGACGTTTCATTACCCAGACTAGGTAATATCATCAGTGCACTCCCTAGTTAAGATAAAAAAACACCCCAGTTCACAGAGGACCAAGGACTCTTCATTTCAACCCTGAAATATAATTTTTCTCCTTTATTGAGAATTGGAATTCCACCAGTCGCTAAGTCAGTGCCTGTCCACGTTCCCTGGTAAAACGCAGCTTGAGGTTTAGGATCATTCCCAAATATTTTTCCACCTTTTGGAAAGAAAAAAAATATGGTGTAGTCGTTCCTTCCACCCCACCCAAAACAGAGGAAAATATCAGTTTATAACCCCAGACAAACTGACAGTTCAAACAAAGACAGGCAGTTAGTGACTTCTAAGGGCTGAGCTACATAATACATCCAGAAGACAGGCTTAGGATACAGGAGGACCTGGACAGACTTGAACATTGGGCGCTATCTAACAAAATGAAATTCAATGGTGAAAAAAGTAAGGTTCTACATTTAGGCAAGAAAAACCAAATGTACAGGTATAGTATAGGGGTACCTTGCTCAATAGTAGCAACTGTGAGAGGGATTTTGGAGTCCTAGTGGACAATCCCTTAAATAGGAGCCAGCCGTGTGCTGCAGCTGCCAAAAAAGCCAACACAGTGCTGGGCTGCATTAATGGGGATAGAATCAAGATCATATGAAGTATTAATACCACTTTACAATGCCTTGGTAAAGCCACACTTGGAATACTGCATCCAGTTTTGGTCACCACGATGTAAAAAAGATGTTGAGACTCTAGAAAGAGTGCAGAGAAGAGCAACAAAGATGATTAGGGGACTGCAGGCTAAAGCATATAAGGAACGGTTGCTGGAATTGGGAATGTCCAGTTTAATGAAGAGAAGGACGAGGGGGGGCATGATAGCAAGTCTTCCAATATCTCAGGGGCTGCCCCAAAGAAGAGGAAGTCAAGCTCTTCTCCAAAGCACCTGGAGGGAGAACAAGAAGCAACAGATGGAAACTAATCAAGGAGAGAAGCAACCTGGAACTAAGGAGAAAGTTAGAACAATTAACCAGTGGAACAACCTGCCTCCAGAAGCGGTGAATGCTCCAACACTGGAAGAAGAGACTGGACAGCCATTTGTCTGAAATGGTCTGGGTTTTCCTGCCTGAGCAGGGGGTTGGACTAGATGACCTCCAAGGTCCCTTCCAACTGTATTATTATTATTATTATTATTATTATTATTATTATTATTATTATTATTATTATTATTATTATTATTATTATTATTATTAATTTTATTTATTTATTTATTTATTTATTTATATATACCGCCCTATCTCCCTTACGGGACTCAGGGCAGTGAACAGGCGATAATAAAAACCATGATAAATATACACAAATTTCTGTCTAAAATCAAATTGTTGTTGTTATTGTTGTTGTTGTTGTTATCATCATCATCATCACCATCATTATTATTATTACTACTACTACTACTACTACTACTATTATTACTACTACTACTACTATTATTATTATTAAATGTGTGAACTCCTGCATCCTTCTATTAAAAAAAAAACCAAACGTATTTACTGAAGACGTCAAGCCCTGCTTACGATCTTCCTAGGACTAGATTGGGGCCACATCTTGGTTTTTCTTCCAGATGGGGGGCATGTATGAGAGATGGCTGGACACCCTGGTCTCCGCTCTGCAGGAGCGTGAGAAGGAAGCCAACGTGGTGGTGGTGAACTGGCTGGCTCTGGCCCAGCAACTCTACACCATCGCCGTCAACAATACCAGGGTGGTTGGAAAAGAACTCGCAGGCCTGCTGGACTGGTTAGAGGTAATTTCTGCAAACGTTTCACTCTGCAAGTGGCACAAGAAAGCGACAGCCCAGCCTTTCCAAGCCGATGCTTGGAAACGCCACATTTGCACACTCAAGAGTTTGTTTGAGCGGTAGGACAAAGCTGGCCGAGGGCCCAAAAGGTGAGGACAGGAAACAATTCGGGCTGATTGCATACCAGATATCTCTGGGACGCAACCTGTGTGAGAATGCACAGCAGCCTCAATCCCTTTCTGTCTGCCAATCTGGCTCAGATCTGCTTGGTTAATCCCTAATTGTTTAATGATCGTTCCTTGGCTTATCTGCTCCTTAATCGAGTGAGGTCCCTGCTGTCATTGGGAAAAGTGGGGAGTAGCAAACACATCGTTTCACAGATCTTAGATATTAGCCTCCTCCTCACTTGATCTTAGTCCAAAAGCGATAGACTCGCCTTTATTTTACGCGCATATTGATTTTGCTGATCTGAGTAGGCTAGGCAGGCCTCGTCCCTTGCAGCTGGCAGCTGTTCCTTAATCTGAATTTGCTTCTCCCCTCCCCCCCTTGTCACAGTTGATTAGCCAACTTCTGTCTTTAATTAATCTCCTCCCCATTAGACAGGCCTGGTCTTCCAAGCTGTTTTATGTACCGGTAGTTTGGCATTGGGACTGAGGCCTTCTTTAACTTTAACTATACGTACATTTAGAATTGAATGGCCTAGCTCAGGGGTAGGCCACCTGGGCTCTTTTATGACTGGTGGACTTCAACTCCCAGAATTCCTGAGCCAACATGGCTCAGCTTGGAAACCTCTCCCTTTCCCCTCAGTGTGGCTGGCTCAGGAATTCTGGGAGTTGAAGTCCACCAGTCATAAAAGGGCCAAGTTTGAAGACCCCTACCCTAGGCCTAGAGTCTAGACCAGGGGTGGGCAACCTGGGCTCTTTTATGACTCATGGACTTCAACTCCCAGAATTCCTGAGCCAGCATGGGGAACCATGGCCCCTTTATGACTTGTGAACTTCAACTCCCAGAATTCCTGAGCCAGCATGGGGGAAACTGTGGCCCCTTCATGACTCGTGGACTTCAACTCCCAGAATTCCTGAGCCAGCCTGGCTCAGCTTGGAAACCTCTCCCTTTCCCCTCAGCATGGCTGGCTCAGGAATTCTGGGAGTGGAAGTCCACCAGTCCTAAAAGAGCTAAGGTTGCCTGCCCCTGCCCTAAGCCTCTTCATGACTCGCGGACTTCAACTCCCAGAATTCCTGGGCCATCAGGGGGGAACTATATGGCCCCCTCATGACTCGTGGACTTCAACTCCCAGAATTCCTGAGCCAGCACGGTTCAGCTTGGAGACCTCTCCCTTTCCCCTCAGCACGGCTGGCTCAGGAATTCTGGGAGTTGAAGTCCACAAGTCATAAAAGAGCCAAGGTGGCTTACCCCTGGGCTAGGGGGTGGGTATGTAAGGCTGAATGCTATTGCTATTGCTATTTTTCTGGGACGAATTTTGTAGCATGAGGTTTCGTCCATTTGTTAAATAATGTGGTGGAGTCACCAGCAGCAAAAGATTTATTCCTCCTGTTCATGGTTGCAGGAGAAGAAGGACTTCCAACTCAAGAACGTCCATCTGATTGGCTACAGTCTCGGGGCCCACATTGCTGGCTACACTGGAAACTATGCCCGGGGGACTATTGGAAGAATTACAGGTAAGGGGACCACCTGGCGGCTTTCTCTTGCTTTCCCAAAACATTACAGCGGTTGGCCTCGCGTTTCTGCAACTGCTTGATGTCCCGTTTAGTGCAAAAAAAAAGGGGATTTTGTAGCCCAAGAGAATTGCCCAAATTTGGCAAGTTTGGAGACTTGCGGACTTCAACATGGCTGGGAGTCGAAGTCCACAAGTCTTCAAGTTGCCAAGTTTGACTTAGTCGACCTTGAGTAAATTGTGTGTGCAACTTCGAGTAATTAATCAAAGCCATCCCACTCGAAATAGCCTTTGGTAAACCGATCTCTGTCTAGATTGCCTTCTGCGCATGTTCTTGGGGGTAATTGCAGATCTGTGTTTGGTCAAGGCTGGGTTGTGGTTAGTGGTGGACGGGGCCAAAGTCAGAAGGCAGGCGGGCTTCTCATTTGGGTCCCTGCTTTCTCGTCTCTCTTCTGCCATGTCATCAGCTTTTTGACTTCTGGCGCTCTCGATCCTACGTTATACAGGAGAAAGATTAAGAAAAAGAGCTTTTATTGGCATTAGTGGCGGATTTTCACTCCTCGGTCCAACCTTAAACCTTAATTGCCACATGAAAAAAAAAAGACATTTTTTTGGAAGGGGTCGTCAGTGAAACCTTTCTTCCCAGCTCGGTGTGTACGTGTGTTTAAGTATGTGCGTGTGTCCCCTTTGGTCTGCGTGCACACACCCAGAACCTTAATTTGCCAAGAATATTTTTTCTCCAAACTTTGCATCTCACGGAGAATCTACGTTATAATTCTCCTTGCAGACCAGAGAGCCTGTAACCCCAAGGCTAGGAGAGAATCCCCACCCCGCTTTTGCGGGTCTCAAAATTGCTGAAATTATGCACGACAGTTTTGCCCCAAAAGTCACTTTGTCGGGGAAATGGGAGGCACAAAAGTTTCATAATTCTTTCGTGAATGAAAATCTTCTTCCATTTTTCCTCTTCTGAGATTGCCTATATGTTGGATGCAAGTTCTATTAGATAACAAATGAGAAATTTCTCTTATGAGAAATGTAGCTCCCTTCTTTGGAAAAAAACTAAGCAGATCGATGTATAGGTGGGCCATGGGCTCTGTGCAGCCCCAGAAAGCTAATTTTGGGTTCTAGGTACCCACCCACCTCCAAATTTGGAAATTAACCATGACATCCACCATAACCTAATGGTTAAGGTAGAATAAAGTTTGTCCCTGCTGCTGGTCTAGACCAGGGGTAGGCAACCTTGGCTCTTTTATATGACTTGTGGACTTCAACTCCCAGAATTCCTGAGCCAGCCACGCTGAAGGGAAAGGAAGAGGTTTCCAAGCTGAGCCAGGCTGGCTCAGGAATTCTGGGAGCTGAGGTCCACAAGTCATAAAAGAGCCAAGGTTGCCTACCCCTGATCTAGACCAGTGGTTCTCAACCTGCGGGTCAGGACCCCATTTGGGGTCGATCGACCATTTCACAGGGGACGCCAAGCAAGGCTGTCCGCCATTTTTTTTGTCCGCCATTTTTTTTGTCCACCATTTTTTTGTCCACCATTTTTCCCCCCTTTTCCGGCGGGTGCCTTACCTCCCTTGGGCTGGGCCAGCTGGTGGTCGGCCTGCTCCGTCTCTGCCGCTTGCCAGCTACGCCTCGGCTGGCGCAGGGGGCGGAACCACGCATGCGCAGCGCTCCCGGGCAGGGAAAGTCCTCGACTTACGACCGGTTGGGTAGTCCTCGACTTACGACCGGTTTAGTCCTCGACTTACGACCGGTTTAGTCCTCGACTTACGACCGGTTTAGTCCTCGACTTACGATCGGTTGGGGTCGCGGCATTAAAAAGGTTGAGAACCACTGATCTAGACTAACCATTCTTCTGATAAGGTACGAACCAGGTTCCTCTAGAACAGAGGTGGGGAAGGATGGCCCCTTTATGACTTGTGGACTTCAACTCCCAGAATTCCTGGCTCAGGAATTCTGGGAGTTGAAGTCCACAAGTCATAAAGGGGCCATCGTTCCCGACCCCTGTTCTAGAACAACGATGGCCTTCAATTATGGCGAAGGGCTAACCAGATCCCTCGGATATTCCAGGCTTGGATCCAGCCGGGCCGATGTTTGAGGGAGCCGATCCAAGCAGACGTCTGTCCCCCGATGATGCCGATTTTGTGGATGTCCTGCACACGTACACGAGAGAAACGTTGGGCATCAGCATCGGGATCCAGATGCCCGTGGGTCACATTGACATTTACCCCAATGGAGGAGACATCCAGCCAGGATGTGGGCTTACGGACATCTTGGGAACGCTGGCTTTAGGCGGTGAGTTGACTCTTCCGCTTGATCTGTGGAGTGGCTTCCGAGAGCAGGGGCTTCCTGGAGGCAGGAAGGCCGTGTTGGGCTCCTTTCCAAGGGGAAAACGGGGATTTCTTCAGAGATGGACAGCTATTTCTCTGAGGAAGGGAGTGTGACAGTTCATATCAAACAAGGGTATTAGTAAAATAATCCTTGTAGAAGTGAATACCCTGGCATAAGAGTCCGTTTGGTCTAGTGCAAGGGTAGGCCACCTTGGCCCTTTTATGACTGGTGGACTTCAACTCCCAGAATTCCTGAGCCAGCCATGCTGAGGGGAAAGGGAGAGGCTTCCAGGCTGAGCCGTGCTGGCTCAGGAATTCTGGGAATTGAAGTCCACCAGTCATGAGGGGGCCATAGTTTCCCCCATGCTGGCTGAGGAATTCTGGGAGTTGAATTCCACCAGTCATAAAAGGGCCAAGTTTGAAGACCCCTGGTTTAAATATTTAAATGTTTTTTCCTCACGGTCACGTGATCAAAATTCAGGCATTTGGGCAGGGGTAGGCCCCCTTGGCCCCCTTGATGACTTCTGGACTTCAACTCCCAGAATTCCTCAGCCAGCATGGAGGAACCATGGCCTCCTTTATGACTCGTGGACTTCAACTCCCAGAATTCCTGAGCCAGCCATGCTGAGGGGAAAGGGAGAGGTTTCCAAGCTGAGCCAGGCTGGCTCAGGAATTCTGGGAGTTGAAGTCCACGAGTCATAAAAGGGCCACGGTTGCCTACCCCTGCCCTAGACCATTTCAGGCAAATAGCTGTCTAATCTCTTGTTAAAACCTCCAGTGATGGAGTACCCACAACCTTTGAAGGCAACTTCTGTTCCACTGATGAATTGTGCTCACTGTCGGGAGATTTCTCCTTATTTCTAGATTGGTTTTCTCCTTGATTAGTTTCCATCCATTACTTCTTTTCCTACCTTCAAGAGGGTGACCCCTTTTTTCTTTGTGGCAGGCCCTTAGATATTGGAAAGATTGCTATCATGTCACCCTCTAGTCCTTATTTTCATTAAACTGGACAGGTGGAGGAGGAGGAGGAGGAGGAGGAGGAGGAGGAAG